TGCAGCAGCCGCCTCCTGTGCTTCGAGGGGCGGCAGAACATCGAGTGCTCCTTTAGCTCCGAGCCCACCTTGCCGCCGCCGCCGCGCCGGGGGCCGCCCCGCCCCCCCTCCGTAGCGCCGCTTCCGCCACCCACGGCGCCGCCGGTTGGCGCCTTGGTCGCGGCGGCGGCGCCGCCGAGGTCGTGGAGCATCGCGTCGACGGCCTTCTGGGCTGCCTGGAGCAGCGCCACCGCGCCAGGGCCGTGTCGGCTCGGCGGAGCCGCGAGGGGGCGCTGCTCCTCCCTTGGCCCCTCGTGCGCACTCAGCCTCTGCTCCACGATCGCCGCCAGGTCGAGGGCGAGATCCGCCGAGATCGAGATCCGCCGAGACCCGTCGAGGGCGGGAGCCGCGCGCAAGCCGCGCCCCGCCCAGAGACCGGCCGCGCCTCTATCGGCAGCCGCGTCGGTGGTAGGGGCGTCAGTGGCGGGGGTACCGGTGGCGGCATCATCGGCGGCGGCAGCGGCGGCGGCGGCGGCATCGGCAGCGGCGGCGTGGGCGGCTGCGTCGGTGGCAGGGATGTCGGCGGCGGCGTCGGCGATGTCAGCGGTGGCGGAGGCGGCGGGAGGGGAGGCGGCGGTGGCGGCGCAGGCGGTGTCGTTGTCGGCGATGGAGGCGTCGGCGTCGTCCTTAGGGTCGTCGGCGGTGGAGGCGGCAGGGGCGTCGCATAGGGAGGCTTCCGCGCAGAGGGAGGCTTCAGCCGGGGCTTCTGCCGTAGCGGAGCCGACGCCAGCCTCCTGCGCCGCCGCCCCTCCTGGGGAGAGCACCTCCCGCACCTCCCGCAGCCGCTCCAGCGCGGCGGCGCGCCGCGCGGCCGCCCTCGCCGCGCGCACGTTGAGTGGACCCGCGGAGGAGACCGGCGCAGAGGCCTCCGCAGTGCGGCTCGCCGAGGCCGTCGCCTGCTCCGCCTCACCGCCAGACATGACGCCAGACATGACGCCAGACATGACGCCAGACATGACGCCCGCATCGACGCCCGCATCGACGCCCGCATCGCCGCCAGACGCGGCGCCAGGCGTGGCGTCAGGCGTGCCAGCCGCACCGCTCGCCCGCAGCCGCGAGGGGCCATCCTCCAGGTGGAGCGGCGGCTGGGGCGAGCCCTCGCCCTCGCCGCCGTGGCCTGCGCCAAAGGTGAGGGCGACCACCGGGAGCTCAGGCTGCCGCCTGCGCCGCCTGCGCCGCTCCTCGCGCCTGTCGCGTGAGCCCGTCGCCGACCCACCAGAGCGGGCACTCGACCACAGGGAAGCGCCCCCCTCGCTATTGCAAGGCCTCTCCTCGCGCACGACCGGCTCGGAGGGCGTCGCGCAAGACGGCGCACGTTCTGCGGCGGCGCCGTCCCCAGTCATCTCTGAGAGCTTTGCCGGCCGCTCAGAGAGGTAGTCCTGCGTGCAGAGAGCGCAGCGGCACAACGATGTGCGGAGGCAGGCGATGTCCGCCGGCGCCTGCCGAAGCTGTAGCGAGGTGCGCGGCGTCGTTGAGCGCGGCGGGGCGCGCGGGAGCCGACTCTTGAGAAGCCGGAGCGCGCCGCTGGCAGCGGCGGCGTCGGGGCTGCTGACCGCGGCGGGGGAAGCGGCCGCGGCGTCGGGGCCGCTGGCCGAAGGGTGCCACATGCAGAAATGGCGGTTGTGCCACAAGAAGCAAAGGCGCGAAAAAAATTCCATCCCTTTTTCATGCTGGACACACTCATGCTGGACACACACAAGAACACACGAGCGCGAGAGAAAAACAAACACGCACACACACACACACGAACACACACACACACACACACACACACACACACACACACACACACGCACACACACACACACACACGCACACGCACGGACACACACACACACACTCCGCTTTAGTAATCTCGGATAATCACGGGTGATCTCGGGTGTTTTCGGGTAATCTCGGGTAATCTAGGTGATATCGGGTGATCACTGGTAATATTGGACTGTGTATTCGGGTCGCCCCCCCCCGCCCCCAAATTATTAGTAATCTGGGGTAGTCTCTGATAAGCTCGGGTAGTCTTGAGTAGTCTCGGGTAGCCTCAGGTCATCTCGGGTCATATCGGGTCATGTTGGATCTAGCGTAGTCGGCACAGAAACACACACACACATGTGCACACGCACGCACGCAGGCACGCACGCACACGCACACACACACACAAACACGCACACACACACACACACACACATACACACACACACACACACACACACACACACACACACACACACACACACACACACACACACACACACACACACACACACACACACACACACACACACACACACACACACACCGAATTGGGAATCTCGGATAATCTCGGGTGATCTCGGGTAGTCTCGGGTTATCTCGGGTTATCTCGGATTATCTCGGGTAACCTCGGGTCATCTCGGGGCATCTCGGGTCATATTGGATCTCGCGTAGTCGGTACACACACACTCACATACACACACACAAACACACACACACACACACACACACACACACACACACACACACACACACACACACACACACACACACACACACACACACACACACACACACACACACACACACACACACACACACACACACACACACACACACACACACGGAAGCGCGCACGCACACACACACACATTATTAGTAATCTCGGGTAATCTCGGCCATTCGTTAGTATTCCAGGAGCAGCGAAAAGCGCGGGCGGCGCGAGGTGGTGGCGCGACTGCGCGGCTCGATTTAGTTATTATTCTGGGGTAACCTCGAGTAATATGAGTTAACCTCGCGTACGGTATTCCACGTCCTAACCCAATTAGTTAATTCATTAATTAATTGTGTATGGTATTCCGCTTCGGGTATTCGTAAGTATTCCAGGAGCGGAACAAGGCAGGGCGGCGCGGCGGAGCTGTCTCGACGCAGTGTACCACCACCCACGCTGTAGATGGACAGAGGAACCAACAGAGCGCAGTGGGAAGGGGAAGGGGGGAGAGGCTGCGAAGGGCGAGGGGGGGTGGAAGGGGGTGGGCAGTGCTATGCCACCTGCCTCGTGCGCACCTCTATTCTGCTCCGGAGTGACTCGCCACCGCCATCCCTGGGCCCACTGGGCAGTCGTGTGAGGGGCCGCCCCCTAGTGGGTCCCCCGACTGACCCGTAAACCAACCATGTTCGGAGCCTGGATAGGGTGTAGGCCGTTCGGAAGGTGGGTCGGGAGGGGATCGCCCGCTAGGAATAGTCTTCCCTGACCCCGCCAGTCCGCCCGCCTGCCCTGCCCGCCTGGCTGATAAGATCTTTTCACCTTGACCTGGTGGAGTACAGGCGCGGGGGGCGTGTGGTTGAGACTCGGCTCGTGAGCCCCGCAGACTCTCGCCTGCCAACCCCGAAGGGGCTGCCGTCCACCCGTCGCTGCCCAGGCCGGGGGAGGGGGGGGAGACCTCCTGTTCCTCGCGGAACGGGAGTAGGCCCCTCCTTGCCCCGTCGGGAAGCAGGGCGGTGGTCGTGCCATCGTCGCCTCGAACTCGAAACGCCGCATTCGTCGCCGGCGCGCGACAGGCTCCCGTCGGCCGGACTGCCCTCGACGAGTGGGTGTCGCCAACCAAAGCGACACGCACTCGAGGGTAGTGCCGACGGGACGCGGCTCGAGGGCGGCTCTCGCGAAGGCACGGCTGGCAACCGTGGCGCGGGGCTCGTGTTCGACAAGACCGGGATCGCTCTACCGGCAAAGCTCTCGCTGACATGCGCGCCCCGTCAAGCTGACGGCGGGCGCGCTGAGGTTGCACGCCAAGCCAAGTTATATGCCAAGGGCGTGCGATCGAGAATCGGCTCACGCACCTCTGCTCGCGTACCCTCACCCATAGAATTGTCACCGCCAGTGAGTGCGAGATAGGGCTGGCCGCTGGCGGCTAGCCCCTGAGGAGAGTGACCAGAGACACCTCACATGACCCCACACACGGTCTAGTCCGGCCTCGCGGTCGGCGGAGATTGCTAGAGGACGAGCAAGCCTGCTCTAGCCTCGCACGTTGCTTCCTGTCGTCTGTTGTTTGTTGTGCCCTTGTTTGTTTCTCTTGGCACCTTGGAGTGCTGGGGGGGGCGACAGGAAGAATGTGGCCCTGAGTTATGTATACGCCAACTCAGGGTGTGTGGCAGTCAGCTGGCTGTGTGTCTTGTGAGCCTGTTTGTGTCTGTGTGTCGTTCGTGCGTGTCGTCATCATCTGTCTCGCGTCCACCCATACCGCGTTGGTGTCCAGTCCGAGCCTGGCTGTTCTTCACCTTTCTACCTACCTACCTTCATGCTACCGGGGGAAACGCCCCCGCTGGTGTTCAGTCCGAGCCTGACTAATATAATTAACTAACTCCTCGTTCGGTGGCGGCTGTGACCTTCCTTTCCCCCATTTTCTTTCTTCCAACGCAAACCCGGTCAGCAGTCCTCCTCCGGGAATGTACAGAGCGCCAGAGCGGGTGAAAAATAAAGAAAAAGAAGGCCGAACTTGCTTGACTCTCCTCTCCGCCTCCGTGTTCATCGCTCCAAGCGGGTGGGTTTTCTTTTTCTTTCTTTTTCCTCTCCGCCTCCTTCGTCGGCACCATCGCCACTTGGCGGGTGTCGCTCTGTGTCTGCTCGCGAGTCCCTACACCGGATAACCGGATATGGAGGAGTTCATCGGGCCGCTCCGCTTCGACGAGCACAAGGCCTTCCTCCGAGTCGTCCACTCACGTGGCGGCGATGCGCTGTACCTCGGCCCACTCTTGCCCCGAGCAATCAAACGGTACCTCAAGCACTGGCTGCCGCTCGTCGCAAGCGAGGGCGACGGCGCCCGACTCATCCCGCCCCTCGATGTCGCCTGGGTGTGGCACCTGCACCGGCTCGCGCCTCGCCGCTATGCTGTGTACTGCAACGAGCGCTTTGGACGGGTGCTCGAGCCGGCGGCAGCGGCCTTCAAGGCACAGAGCGCTGCGGACGAGGCCGATGGCGAGACTCGCCGGCTGTGGGAGAAGCACTACGCCGACGAGCCCTTCTTCCAGCGCGGCGAGGGCGAGAGCAGCCCGGCGGAGTGGGGCCCTCGCGACCCGCTCTCGAACCAGACGACGCTCTGCGCCGAAATCAAGACGGCGTGCGCTGCGGCTCGCAGCGAACACGGCTTCGACTACGACGTAAAAAATTCCATCCCTTTTTCATGCTACCGGGGGAAACGCCCCCGCTGGTGTTCAGTCCGAGCCTGACTAATATAATTAACTAACTCCTCGTTCGGTGGCGGCTGTGACCTTCCTTTCCCCCATTTTCTTTCTTCCAACGCAAACCCGGTCAGCAGTCCTCCTCCGGGAATGTACAGAGCGCCAGAGCGGGTGAAAAATAAAGAAAAAGAAGGCCGAACTTGCTTGACTCTCCTCTCCGCCTCCGTGTTCATCGCTCCAAGCGGGTGGGTTTTCTTTTTCTTTCTTTTTCATCTCCGCCTCCTTCGTCGGCACCATCGCCACTTGGCGGGTGTCGCTCTGTGTCTGCTCGCGAGTCCCTACACCGGATAACCGGATATGGAGGAGTTCATCGGGCCGCTCCGCTTCGACGAGCACAAGGCCTTCCTCCGAGTCGTCCACTCACGTGGCGGCGATGCGCTGTACCTCGGCCCACTCTTGCCCCGAGCAATCAAACGGTACCTCAAGCACTGGCTGCCGCTCGTCGCAAGCGAGGGCGACGGCGCCCGACTCATCCCGCCCCTCGATGTCGCCTGGGTGTGGCACCTGCACCGGCTCGCGCCTCGCCGCTATGCTGTGTACTGCAACGAGCGCTTTGGACGGGTGCTCGAGCCGGCGGCAGCGGCCTTCAAGGCACAGAGCGCTGCGGACGAGGCCGATGGCGAGACTCGCCGGCTGTGGGAGAAGCACTACGCCGACGAGCCCTTCTTCCAGCGCGGCGAGGGCGAGAGCAGCCCGGCGGAGTGGGGCCCTCGCGACCCGCTCTCGAACCAGACGACGCTCTGCGCCGAAATCAAGACGGCGTGCGCTGCGGCTCGCAGCGAACACGGCTTCGACTACGACGTGGAGACCTGCTCCGCGCGCCAGCGCACCTTCCTCTGGCAGGTCTCGCAGCCGGCGTTCAGCGGCAGCGAGGGCTTTGCGGCCGCCGCTGGCGAACGGTACCTCCAGTTCCTGGGCCTGATGAAGAAGCACGGGTGCGAGGAGCACTTCTTCGTGCCGTCGTACGACATCGACTTTGCGTGGCACACGCACATGCTCTCCAGCACCACCTGCTACCTCCGCGAGACCGAGGCTCTCGCCGACGCCCCCGGTGGCGTCGACCACGACGACTCGGTCAACCAGCGGCACGAGGACAGCAAGCTGCATCTGGGCGCCGCGCACAACGCGCCTGCAGACACGCCCCACAGTTGCACACATCATGTTGGGTTGCGTAGGCTGGGCCGAGACGAAGGAGCTGTGGGCGAGTGAGCACGGCGATGCGGCCGACCCGATCGACCGGACCGGCGTCACGTACCGCGGCGAGCCGCCGGACTGGTGGTTTGAAGCCGACGGCAGCGACATCTACCGCGTGCTCGACTGCTTCCTGTCGGAGGAGGAGGTGGCGAACGCGCTCGAGAAGCTGAGCTGCGAGGCGAACGTCCGGGGGCGAGCTCACAGCGGCTTCGACATGGGTTGCCAGGTCAGCGGCGATGTGATGCGCCGCCTCAGAGAGCAGATCGATGCCGAGGGGGCGGTGGAAGGGCGAGAGCCGGCAGAGTTGGCGCAGCCGCCGGCGGGGCAGGAGCCGCAGCAGGAGGAGGAGCAGGAGCTGGTGGAGGTGCCTGCGAGGGTGTGCCCGGCCTCCAAGAGCGTTCCCCAGCACAAGGACAAGCCGGACGGCAAGGGCGCTGCGGTGGGCAGCTGGATCTGTGTCGTCTATCTCACCAACCAGCCAGGCAGCGCGCTCGTCCTCGTCGACGACGTGACCGGCCGCGAGTTTCGCGTCCCGGTTGTGGCGGGGCGCCTCTGCTGCTGGCCGAACGCCCGCTTCTCGCACCGCGTGGACGTGGACGCCGCGGATGCCGAGCTGGCGAGCTTCCGGAGCATGCTGGGACCCATGGCCTTCAGCCACTCCCCTTCGAAGCAGATCGTCTACACCGAAGGGGGCTGCGGCGGCGGTGGCTGTGGCGGCGGCGGCTGCGGCGGCGGCGGCGGCGGCTGCGGCGGCGGAGGCTGCGCCGGCGGCGGCGGCGGCGTACCCACAATCGTCGACTCGGCAACGGTGCGAGTCGTCGGGGTGTCCACGCTGAAAAGCGATGTGATGAACCTCGCAAAGGGAACCGCGAGCGCAGCCGCCCTCGTCGGCACTTTTGCGCCGTCCGCCTACAGCGCCGTGTGGGATACCGGGGGCATATCCTTCATTCGCCGCCGCGGCAATGTTCCGTACATGCACGAGGCGGCCGTCTCGCAGGCGCTCTGGCAGCAGCTGCAGCAGCAGATCGGTGAGCTCGAGGCGCGACTTGCCGCGATCGCAGACCTGTCAGACTATCCGAGTTGCAGCGCCTTTTGCTGCGGCGGCCCCTCCCTTGATGCTTTCAAAGCGGTCGCCGCTCTCGTCAAGGCCACGCGCGACGTGCACGTGGCAGCAGTGAACGTGCAGCTCGCGGCGTTCGGCGTGCAGCTCTGCTTCGGCGGAGGCAACTCGGCGTACTACTTGCAGGCGGCTGCAAGTCTCGAGCAGGCGATCCGCGAGGCCGAGCCGGCGCTGCAGCAAGCGCAGGCCGCAGAGGTTGCGGCTCGAGAGGGCCTCGCGCCGTTCGGCATCGCCCCGCCCGCGGCCGGATATGTGGTGCAGGGCATTGTCGCCGGAGGGGTCCTCGAGATCTCTGTGCCGGAGGGGCTCTCGGGCGGCGAGTCGCTGCAGGTTCAGACGCCCGCCGGGCTGATGTCGGTGCAGATCCCGCCTGGCGCTGCCGCCGGCCAGTCCTTGCAGGTGCAGGCCCCGCTGCCGCCTCAATCGGCGGCGCCCGTCACCGCGCAGCCCGTGGTGGCGCAGCCAGTGGCGCCGCCTGCAGGCCTGCAGATGCAGCGGCACCCCGTCGTGGAGGGCGTGCCCGTCTAGTCCGAGGAGCGCCACCGTGGAGCGGCATGTGCTGCCGCTTTCTGGGAGAGGGAGGCCCGAGAGATGATGTGCATGCTTCTGTACGTTGTTGAGGTCTGAGTCAATGCGCCTCACCGCGAGTACGCGAGGCGTGCGGACTGCGGTGTGAAGCTACGTGCGGACACTTTAGTCGCCGTCTCTGAGTCGTGTCCCCGTTGACATTTTGTTTCATGCATATTGTCGTATACTCCGGGCCCTCGCGCGGGCAAGACCCTCCCGGCTAGCTCCCTCCCGACCTCCAAGAGTGTTCGCGGCAGTCGGGATGTCGGGCGCTGTGAAAACGTGCGGGCCACGCTGCGCGGTGCTCCCGCGAGGCATGCCAGCGCCCTCCCGTGACGCTATCGCCGGCGCCGTGGGCAAGTGCGTCTTTCTCAAGCTCGCGCCGCAGGACACGCAGAAACTCCTCGCGCCGGTTGGCGCCAAGGTGGACTGGAAGGCGGTCCGCGCGTACACGGCGCAGGCGGTCCGTTCGCCGCAGGCTGCGGCGTGCTTGAGCGGCCACTTCACGGAGCAGCTGGCGGTACTGAATGCGGTTCTGGAGCCCAAGCTCTTTCTTGGCGGCGCCAGCCCCTGCCT